ACATGCACACTACAAGTCCCCCCCCCCCAGTTATTTTTTTAAAAACTTTTAAAAAAAGATTTTATTTACTTATTTGACAGAGAGACACAGAGAGAGAAGGAACACAAACAGGGGGAGTAGGAGAGGGAGAATCAGGCTTCCCACCAAGCAGGGAGCCTGATGCGCCCAGGGATCCCTAGTCATTCCTGGTGCAGCCCCAGAGCCATCCCATTAAAAGCAAACACAGAAAATCAAGATGTTTTCTGGAAAATAATCCAGGCTATAAATTTTATTGCAGTTTGAATCTAACAATCTGCATCTCCTAGAAAAGCTAAGAAGAGAAATGTAGTTCAAAATGGCTTTCCATAGCCCAAAATATCTTCTGTTTTCTTTCAACTTACCTGGAGACAGAATGTGTCTGGAGGAGATTTTCTTTACTAAATGTATGAAGGTGGTTTTTGTCAATATGATATTCTCATTTTTGTTCCCTTACCTTTGGGCAGATGCATTCTCCTAAAATAACCACTTTACCTGCCTGGGTTTGAGTCCCAGATCTGTCACCTACTAACTCTGTGTCGCTAAACCTCTCTGTCATTCTTGTTTGTAAAGTGAGTATAATAGGGATAATGCCTGTTTGATGGTGGTGGTATGAGGATTAAATGAGTTCTCACAGACCAGCATTCAGAACCATGGCTGCTACATAACAATTTCTTTCTTTTTTTTTTTTTTTAAAGATTTTATGTATTTATTTGACAGACAGAGATCACAAGTAGGCAGAGAGGCAGGTGGAGAGAGAGGAAGGGGAGCAGGCTCCCTACTAAGCAGAGAGCCCGATGCGGGGCTCGATCCCAGGACCGTGGGATCATGACCTGAGCCGAAGGCAGAGGCTTTAACCCACTGAGCCACCCAGGCGGCCCATACATAACAATTTCTTAATAAATATTTGCCATTGTTATTATTATTACTATAGGTCATATTTACTTCAAATTAGCCAGCCTCTTTCAAAAACATGAAAAAGCCTTATCTTGATTACAGTTATAATACATGTCCATTATTAAACATCCAAACAACATAGAAAAATATAAAGGAGAAAAGAAGAGTAAAATTCGCCTTCGGAGAAACCTCTGTCAACACTTTGAGCATCCTTCCAGAGAGTTCCAGTGTCTACATACCGAAGATAGTATTACATGCCTGATGGCCAGAGGCTCCCTGTGGACACTTGTCTTGGGCAGTGCTTCCGGCATCTGTGAAAACAGACTTGGTGAACTGTGTCCAAGAGGGCAGGAAATAACACGGCTTAGACCAGTGGTTCTCAATCAAGAACAATTCTGCCCCTCAGGGGACATTTTTGGCAATGTTGGGAGATGTTTTTGGTTGTCACCACTGGGGAGAAGGGACTGCCCTGGCATCTAGCAGGGAGAAGTCGGGGATGTTGCTTAACATCCTACAAAGCACAGGACAGCCCCCACAACAGAGAATATTCTGGCTCAAAATGTCAATAGGGCCCAAGTTGAAAAACCCTGCCTGAGGTTGTTTCATTTCTAGGAGATGATAAATATTAGAACCAAGAGGGTCGGTCAGCTTGAATACACTGGCCTGGTTATCCCTGTTGTTAAACTTCCAAAACACTTCTGTACTGGTTTTCAAAGAGCTCCCTGCAACCGGGGTTCCCCCTGCCAGGACCCTTCCCCAGCCTCCAGCGCGGGCCCCAGCACAGCGTAGAAGGGTCTAGAGCTGGTGCAGGGAAGGGGCGCCTCCAAGACCAGGCTTCTCCCAACTGCAACCGCTCTGATGAGGCAGGACTCAGGCCTGCCTCGCTCTTCTGTTCGAGATTCTAGCCCTCCCCTCGGTTAATGAGTGAACAAAATCGAAACTTCTCATTTTCACATAGAAATGCTTAACGATTTCTTCACAAATATTTCCTATTTTTTTAAAAGATTTTATTTATTTACTTAACACACAAAGAGAGAGAGAGATCACAGGTAGGCAGAGAGGCAGGCAGACAGAGAGGGAGAAGCAGGCTCCCCACTGAGCAGACAGCCCGATGCAGGGCTCGATCCCAGGACCCTGAGATCATGACCCGAGCCAAAGGCAGAGGCTTAACCCACTGAGCCACCCAGGTGCCCTAATATTTCCTATTATTATGGTTAATAGTAGTAGTAGTGGGATGCCTGAGTGGCTCAGTCGTTAAGCCTCTGCCTTCAGCTCAGGTCATGATCCCAAGGTCCTGGGATTGAGCCGTGCATCAGGCTCCCTGCTCAGCGGGAAGCCTTCTTCTTCCTCTCCCACTCCCCCTGCTCGTGTTCCCTCTCTTGCTGTGTGTCTGTCAAATAAATAAAATAAATCTTTTTAAAAAAATAGTAGTAGTAGTAATATTTATTTCAAATTAGCCATTCTCTTTTTTAAATGAAAAAAAGCTTTGGGGGCATGCGGGTGGCTCAGTGGGTTAAAGCCTCTGCCTTCAGCTCAGGTCATGATCCAGGGTCCTGGGATCGAGCCCCCCATCTGGCTCTCTGCTCAGCGGGGAGCCTGCTTCCTCCTCCTCTCTCTCTCTCTCTCTCTCTCTGCCTGCCTCTCTGCCTACTTGTGATCACTGTCTGTCAAATAAATAAATAAAATCTTTAAAAAAAAAAAAGCTTTATTTTATCCTGCTTACAATTATAATACATGTTGATTATTAAACATCCAAACACAATAACAACATTTCTGTTTGTGGTGACAACTTCTGCTTGTCTTATCTTTATAATAGACATGGGAGAAACCCACCTCTGGGGGCACGGGAGTGGGGGACAAAGTCAAACAGATATCCTTCATGCCAGTCACCTAGGACAAAGGAGGAAGGGGGTCAGTCCCAGTGTGGGGCTGCAGATCAGATGCCGGTGTCTGAGACAGACTGCCTTTTGTCTGCTCCCCTCTCTGATAGAGGGAGGAGCCTCTCCAGCTCAGCTCAGACCTTTAAAATGATTCTGGAGGAAGGACTTCACAAGCCAAGGGCTGGGAAAACTATGCCAGGGAAGATCTGATTATTTCTAAATGTTATCTTGAAAAGAAAAGAAAGAGGCTTTGTTGAGAAACTCTGCTGCTGGAATCTGCCTCTGGGAGTCCTGAACCTTCCACTTACCGTTCTAGAGAAAGAAACTATTGATGAACTGAGGTCCTACCAAGGAGAAAGGAGTCCCGTGATCTTTGGCCAGCAATTCCCTTTGCTGAGACGCATGAAATCAAGCATGCTGTTTTGTAGCCGGCTTTCCAGTTGAAACACTGTGGGCGTGTTTCCCTGTAAGTGAATATAGAAACGCGACCATTTGCAATGACTGCCTAGCATTCCGCTGTCGGGATGGAGCTTCCGGGGTGTAGCCCGTTGTCTACAGATGGGTGTTTTACTAAAATTGCTGCAGGGACCAGCCCTATAATTAAATCTTTGTGAGATTTTCCATGGGATAGTTTCATGGAAGAGGAACTGGTATCCTGAGGTCCAGAGCCCACACACGCATCACTGGCTATCTCTTCTCCCAGATCTCAAAGATCCATGGGTGGGGAATAAAGAGACTTTTTAAGAAACCCCAGAAAATATGTTACCAGGACCAAATGCCACAAATGAGGCTTGCCCCAAACCAGAAGCCCGAGGCTCCTGAACTGTGGTGTTCAGTCCAGCCAACCTGACCTCATCCCAGAACCATTCCTCCTCACTCTGACAACACCAAGGGCAACTCTCTAGGCCTGGGACCCAGTGACACAGGATATGACAGGCCCCCGACAGTCTGGGGCAGGGGGCTTTACTGGCCGAAGGAAAGTCAGACCTGCAGCCTTTTCCCTCCATCCCCCACTGCCTACCCTACCTGCCCCAGACCTCCAGGGAGTCAGGGAAGTTGCTGACCCGTCCCCTGGGGGAATAATTGTATTAGTGATAAGGTGGCCTCTGGTGGCTTCGTCAGCAGATTCAAGGCTTTGGGCTGGGTAATCCTCTGGCGTCTGCCCCAGCAGCTGGTGGTCACAAATCGGGAGAGAGCCACTACCCCCAGCTCTGCTGGGCTGTCTGTCATCCGGCACCATCCAGGCTCTGGCTGGGCCTGACTTGCCCAAGAACAGAGGGTCAGGGTGACAGAGGACCCGGGCTGAAATCAACATAATAAAGTCCAAACAGCATACAAACAGGCATGTCAAACAACACTAGCGTTTTTATCCTGATGGATTTATTTTTCACCATTCTAAGTAACACATACCCACTACTGATTGTCAGGAAAATAAAAACAAGTTAAAAATGGGCTACTGTGGGGCCCCTGGGTGGCTCAGTCGTTAAGCATCTGCCTTCGGCTCAGGTCATGTTCTCAGGGCCCTGGGATCGAGCCTCACATCGGGCTTCCTGCTCAGTGGGAGCCTGCTTCTCCCTCTCCCACTCTCCCTGCTGTGTTTTCTCTCACTGTCTCTCTGTCAAATAAATAAATAAAATCTTAAAAAAAATAAATAAAAGGGCTACCATATGTTAAGTGCCTTCTCATCTACATGCTCTGAACCCAGTCCCTGGAACCTTCCATTGGCTGAGGAGAGGAAGGTGACCTGGGCTGAGATCCAACCCTGAGGACAAGATCCGGCCCTGGGCCCTGGAATTTCTGCCCACCCCCTTTCTGCTGCTAAAGCCAAAGAAATGGCCAGCCTTGTGTGGAAAGTGCCCAGCGGGAAAGCAGGAGCTTGGGAACCAGACACCAGGTTGAAACTCCTGGCTCCAGCCCCAGGCTCCTCTCCCCTCTCTGCCGCTGTGTGACCAGAAGCTATTTGCCTCACCTCTCGGAGACTCCCGTTTCCTCATCTGTGGGTTGAGGTTTGCTGTGAGGTTTGGGTATCACGTCGGGAGCGTTTGCGTAAGCACTCTTCTTGCTTGCTTTGTCCTTCCTACTCTTGGCAACGCAAAGGCATCCGAGGACACTTGACCTGCACGATGGCGCCATCCTCGAATCCTCCCCTTCCCTTTCTCCCATGACCCACGCTGCCCTGATTTTCCTAGCGGCTCTTCCTTGGCCCAGACCTCCAGGTTCAAGGCCCTCAGCTCAGCCTTGGGCACCTTCCTCCCTGATGTATGCTCAGAGCTGCCCCTCGATCCAGGGGCTTCAGTGACCATCTCCGTGGACAAGGTGGGGACAGGCTGGTTGAGGCGTGTGGAGTTGGTCTCCACACCTGAACTCTGGGTGGGTCTGTGGGGAGAAGCTCCAGCCCAGACCCAGGCAGGTGTGAAGGGGTCATGGAAGCCAGGCGTGTGTGTGAGATCGCCCAAGGAGAGGTGTAAAAGTCCTCTGGGGCCCGCTCTGGCGCACCTTGAGGTGATGACCATTCAGAGTGGGGACAAAGAAGGTGAAGACATGCTCCAGAAGTGGGAGAGACAAGCTTTGGGAAGGAGGCACCCGTCCATCAAGTTCAAGGGATATGCCTGTGGCTGTGGAGGTGAGGGGGAGCTAGAAACTGTGCAGAGGAGGACCCTGAGGGCTGCCTGTCAGGAGGGGTGCAGGTGAGCACAGAGGCAGGGGAGGTCAGGTGTGGGACCTCCACCTGGTGGCCTCGATCTTCTGAGGTCCCAGAAAGCAGATTACCCCACAAAGTCCCTCGAGCTAACTTCCCAAATCCCCAGTAGTGCTTCTCTGTCACAGTGAGGGTTAACCCCACTTACAAAAAGGCCCTGCCCCTCCCCCTCTGTCCCCTTCACTCCATGATCCTTCCAGAAATTTCTCACTGTTCCCCTCCCCCTTGGGCTCTAAGCCTGGGCCAAGCGCTGTCCCTCACCCCCAAAGTGAGCAGGTCTGCTGAGGGTAGGTGGTGCCCTCCAGACCACACCCCCCCCACCCCCGTCCCCCGCCGGGGCTGCTCTGTCCTGGCCGGAGGGGGAGTGGGGGTGAGCATGGGGGTGGGGACAGAGAAGCAGGGAAAGGAAAGGCAAATTTCCTGAGGCTTGCTCTGTGACCTTCTCAGAGAAATCATCATCATAACAGCCCCTATCATGTATTATGCTCTTACTGAGTACTGGGCTCTGAAACTTTCGATACCCCTTTTCACAGACATGGAAACTGAAGCTCAGAAAGGCTAAATCACTTGCTCAGGGCTGGGCCATGTGAATGGCCTGAAGTGGGAGCAGGGATTGAAATTTGGCGCTGTCTGGGCTCTCTCCACGCTCCGTCTTGGATTGGTCCAAGGAAGCCCAGACTCCTCCTTTGGCCTCCTCATCTCACAATCACACTGGGCTTGAGCTGGGAAGATGGGGTTTGGGGACAGCCGAGAGGTCAGCCTGCCTAGAAAGGTGAGGCAGGGCCGGGGAAAGGAGGGGAGGCCACCCAATTGCCTGGAGCCAGGCTCAGAGGCTGTGTTCTCATGCCCTCCCCTGTCCTGCGGGCCCCACTCCCCAGGAAACTACAGCTTCTTCCGCTCCTCATAGACCTGAAGGAGACTCTCCATCTTGGGCCCCAGGCCCTCCTGCCTCCAGGCCAGCCCCAGACCCTACAGGAGACCCTTTCTCAGTGTGATGGGAGCCACCTCCATGCTGGATATGTGGGGAGCCCCCTTCCAGGATCTGAGGGTCCTGGGCCCTAAGTGGTTCCTTATCAAGGGCTCAGGTGGGAACCTAAGGGTGGAAAGCTGAAGCCACAGTGAACACTGAGCCTCACACGCACCAACTTGACACACAGCTCCCAGACACGCACTTGCTCCTAGACACATGCCAAGGAGCTCCAAAAGACTTAAAGTCCTGGGGAACCCGGAGTCCACACCTCCCTTCAAGATTTGGCATTGGAGGGCCAGTAGGCTGAGAGCACAGAGCAGAGGGGACCAGGGACACTGGGCAGCTCGGGGGTGGTGGTGAGGGGGAGCAGCGGGACCAACGGGCCCCGGGGGCACCTTGGTAACGCTGCAGGTGTGGCTGGTTGATCCCCTGTGGAGACAGTAAAGATTAAGAGGATCATAAGCTGCGTCCAGCACTGCCCTGGGAGAAATCTCCTAGAGCCAGAGCCGCTGCTGTGAGGGGAAGTTGGGGCAGCTCTGAGTTCGGACAGACGGAGAGACAGGAGACAGGGAGATAGACGGGAGAGGCTTGGGAGGGAGGGAGACCACCAGGGCCATGGAGGGGGAGAAGGAGAAGTAGGAGACAGGAGCATCAAGAGAGGGACAGAGGTCCAAAGAGAAAGGCTGAGGCTGGGCCCACGCGGGAGGCCTCCCTCCGGAAGGAAGGTGAAAGCTGCCCTGGGACGCACTAGCTCTGGGCCCACTGCCCTAGCACGAGCTCCCGCATGGCTGCGGCTGGGCCAGCCACTGTGGCTGCTTCCAGGAAGGAGTCTCCGGGCAGATGGGGCCTGGGAGACCAGCCAGCAGGTAGGGCTTTTCTGGAGGTAGGGTCTGGGCCCTCGGGGAGTGCGGTGTGGACCCGAGGTTGGCAGGGACCGTATAAGGAGCTCCGAGGGCTGTGGCCAAGAGTGAGGGACCAGGCCAGCATACTCAGAATCCTAGAAACGCAGGGGTCAGCAGAGCCAGGATGGGACAGCTGAATTGATGGGAAAAGAAAGAGAGAAGCATTCTTCCTGGTCTGGCCTCAGAGCTCCCCAGGGGTGTGTGGTCCTGGAGGTTTCTGTGGGATGAGGAGCCTGAGGTCACCGGCAGCCAGGAAGGGGGGGTGGGCGAGCAGGCGGACGCAGAGAGTGGACATGGGTTGCAAAGTGGAGGGAGGGCAGAAGCTGACTGGGGGAGGGTGGCAGGGTGGGGTGTCTGGATGAGAGGCCGGGGTGTGTGTACTGTATGTGGGGATTGGGAAAGGGACTGGGTGGGGGGAAGGGCTCGCTGCAAAGGGGGAGTGACCCAGCCCGGCCCCTGCCCCTTAGGCGTGGGTCCGTCGCTGCAGTGTCGTGTGTGTGGAGACAGCAGCAGCGGGAAGCACTACGGCATCTATGCCTGCAACGGTTGCAGCGGCTTCTTCAAGCGGAGTGTGCGGCGGAGGCTCATCTACCGGTGGGGGGAGGGCAGGATCCCCACCCGCAATGGCTCCGCCCCCCCGGCCCCCGCGGGACCCCGGGAGGGGTGCGGGATGCTCAGGGAAAAAGGGGTTGGGCCAAACATGTCCAAACCCCACGGTCCTGGGCCTGGATGGGTGGGACGCTGACAACAGGGTGGGCACCCTTCTGCCGGCAGGTGCCAGGTGGGGGCAGGGATGTGCCCGGTGGACAAGGCCCACAGGAACCAGTGCCAGGCCTGCCGGCTGAAGAAGTGCTTGCAGGAGGGCATGAACCAGGACGGTGAGTCGGGGCCCCCGACCCAGAGAGGAGTGACTGAAGAGACAGGGGTCCAAGACCGAGGAGGGGTGGTCCTGACCGTTCCTGCCTCCCCAGCTGTGCAGAATGAACGCCAGCCACGAAGCACGGCCCAGGTCCGCCTGGCCGGCATGGAGTCAGACGCGGAGCCCCGGCTGGAGCCCCTGGTGCGCCTCCTGGCCCCGGCAGGGCCCAGCCCGCGGGACCCCACGCCTGTTTCTGCAGCCAGAGCCCTGGGCCCTGGGGCCCTCACCCCGCCCGGGCACCACCACTTCTTGACCAGCCTTATCACAGCTGAAACATGTGCTAAGCTGGAGCCAGAGGACGGTAAGTAGGAGGGCAACTGGGGCCCTGAGCAGCCCCTGTCCCTGCCACAGACTAGGGGTTGATGTCCCCATCCCCTTCTCCAACAGCCGATGAGAATATTGATGTCACCAGCAACGATCCCGAGTTTCCCTCGTCCCCATACTCCTCCTCATCACCCTGTGGCCTGGACAGCATCCATGAGACATCGGCTCGCCTTCTCTTTATGGCTGTCAAGTGGGCCAAGAACCTGCCTGTGTTCTCCAACCTGCCCTTCCGCGATCAGGTATGTGTGTATTGGGGGATGCACTTGATTCAGCTGGGTTGGGAGTGCATACACCCCCGTGCAGGCGATGATAGGAGGTGCCCGGAGCTCGGGGCTGGCGACAGTTGGGAGGCGCATGTCTCTGAGTCAGTGTTGGTCAGGGATCCATGTCTCAGGGATGTGACCACTGGGGGCACGCCCATCTCTGGGCAGAGGGGAGATTGGTCTCTTGGGGATGATGTTGGCTAGGGCCACACAGGGATTTGAAGGTAGTGCCTGTGACCCCCTGGGTCTTCTCTCCTCCTGGAGTACCTCTGTGTGTGACAGGGCAGTCTGCACTCCCTCAGTTGTGCACATGGGAGACTCTGGTGCTCTCTAGGAGCTCAGATGACTGTGACTTCAGGGCTCGAGTTCCCACGTAGCCTCTCACCTGTAGGACTTCCCTCTGAGCTTATATGTCATGATAAACCCAGGAAGAGAGGCGCACGGACGGTCTCAGCCCTTGGCCAGTGCCTTGGATAGAGCAGCTCAGAGGTCAGGCTGAGTCTCCTGAGCACGCTCAGCTTCGGACGCCCGTGGGGACTGTCCCTGCGGCTGCCCAACTTCCATGGCTCTAGGCTTTCCTAAACGTTCCAGTTGCGGCTCGGGAGGGAATGCATAGAGTGTCTTGGAGCCTAGGCATTTGGACCAGATCATACCAAATCTCAGAGCCCCGGGGCCCCTGGGTCAATGTCAGACGGAGGTCAGGAGATGGTCTGGGCATCCAGGACCAGCCCTTCCTTTCCTAGGGCCCCGGAGAAGGTAGTGGAGGCTCAGCCTGAGCCACAGATGTTGCATCTCAGCCATCATGCTCACTCTTTCTTTGAGCACAGGTGATTCTGCTGGAGGAGGCATGGAGTGAACTCTTCCTTCTCGGGGCCATACAGTGGTCTCTGCCTCTGGACAGCTGCCCTCTGCTGGCTCCGCCGCAGGCCCCCACGGCCGGCAGCTCCCAGGGCCGGCTGGCACTGGTCGGCGCTGAGAGTCGCATCCTGCAGGAGACAATCTCAAGGTTCCGAGCGCTGGCGGTGGACCCCACAGAGTTCGCCTGCATGAAGGCCCTGGTCCTCTTCAAACCAGGTCGGTGAGTCTTTGCCCAAGCCTTACGGAAATGTGGTTGGGGGTTAAAGAATGGGAATTCCAGTGATTTCCTTCTGCCTCTCCTTCTGCCTCTACTACCCCACATAGGCCCGGGGCGTGCAGACTTCTTCCTTGGGGAGCAGGAGGAGCGAGGTGCAGGGCTGGCCTCACCCCTCCTGAGGGCGCTGGCTGACTGCGATGGGGGCGGGCAGGGCGCGCTGGGAGAAGAGCTCACTGCCCATGCATCTCTCCAGAAACTCGGGGCCTGAAGGATCCTGAGCACGTGGAGGCCTTGCAGGACCAGTCCCAAGTGATGCTGAGTCAGCACAGCAAGGCGCACCACCCCAGCCAGCCCGTGAGGTGACCTGAGCACAAGCCTTCCTGCCCGTCTGTCCCTTCGCCTCTTTACCCTCCCCCAACCCCCACCTCTTTGACACTGTCTCTGGTGTCACTGATTAGATGGCCCGAAGGTCTGACTTCAACCAAGCATGAATCCAGCATCCCCTGTGTGCCAGGTTCCAGGAGTAGGTTCCAGGAGTGGGGACCAAAATGAGCAGAAGACAAAGTTGCTGCCTCCCCTGGATGCCCAGCACGGTGACCCCACTCCAGCTGAGGACCACCCCATCAGATAGTGAGGGTTCAGACACCTATGTCTCTATGTATTTCTACAGATACCTAGGACAGGAGGCCAGTCTGGAAGGTGTAACAGATTGCTGCCAGTGAGAAGGTGGGAGACTAAGCTAGGACAGTGTTCATGGGCTGGCCTGTCCAGGACTTTGAATGCCAGCTGAAGGCCATATGTGATTTGGTAGGCAGAGGGGAGCCACTGTGGGTTTTTGAGCAGGAGGGTGTTGTACAGAGAGCCGGAGTGAGTCCAGAGTACACGATCAGGGAGGGAAGCACACACTGCCACCCTCCAGGGGAGTCCCTGGAGTGGCTATAGGGAGTGGAAGGGAGAGGACAGTTGCAGGGGCCTTCAGGAGTTAGAATGCGTCTGACTTGGCCCTTGGATGGATGGATGTAAGGAGCAAAAGAGGATGTGCTATTTGGGAGAAGCGGGAGTCAAGAAATAAAAAGGAAAGTCAGGAGGAAGATGCGGTTTTAAGGGAACATGATCAGGTCTGTTGGAGCTGCAGGGGAGCATCTCCTAGGGGTGCACTTGGCTAAGCCACACGCATGGATGAGAGCCCGCCCGTGGCTGGGTTTGGGGGCGGTAGCCACAGAGAGGCTGAGAGCGTGGCCGGTGGTTACTCACTAAATTTAATTTCACACTCACTAGGGGATGAATTCCTGCAGTTTGAAAAACAGTTTCTCTACTTGACTTTCTAGTTACTTCTTTCTGAAACTCCCTAGCTCAGAAAAACAAGCAGGAAGGAACAAGTGAGAGGTGCACAACTTCTCTGTCCCACCCACTTGGCACTTGCAAAAGAAAGAAAGCCCTTGGGTTGGGAAAAAAAAAAAGTCCTGCAAATAACTGGGAGATGAGGGAAGGCCTCCCACACACCTCCACGGTGGGAGTTGAGTGTGGAGCTGGCCCACTTTGAAGTGGCCTCCTTGAAGTTGAGCACTGACCTCTGCTGATCCCTCCCATCTCTCTTTTGGGGTTTCACCTACTTTCTCTGCACTGGGGACCCTTGATTAGCAAATGGTTTGATTGATTGATTGATTGATCAATTCATTCATTCATTCATTCACTCATTCACTCATTTGGCTCCACACCTAGTGTGGATTGCAAGGTGGGGCTTGAACTCATGACCTTGAGATCAAGACCTGAGCTGAGATCAAGAGTCGACTTGAGCCCTTTTTAAAAAAATTTTTTTATATCTCTCTCATCCACAAAAATTACACTTCCACTTCAGAACACTTTCACTAATGGCTACTCTAGGGGGCTCACGGAGCGGAATTTAGATTCTTATTCAATTATACATCTCATAATTATCCTAATAATCATATATATGATTAGCACATTTTATATAACATTAATATAACTTATAATCTTTGCACATAATAAACAGTATTTATTTTCTATTTTTATCCCACTGACTACATGATTTATGCTCAGAAGCTGGTAATAAAACTGATGGTAGGTGCCTGGGTGGCTCAGTGGTTTAAGCCTCTGCCTTGGGCTCAGGTCATGATCTCAGGGTCCTGAGACGGAGCCCCACATCGGGCTCTCTGTTCAGCAGGGAGCCTGCTTCTCTGCCTACCTCTCTGCCTGCCTCTCTGCCTACTTGTGATGTCATTCTCTGTCAAATAAATTAAAACAAAACAAAACAAAACAAAACACACACAAAAAAAACCTGATGGTGTCCTCTCTCCTGTTCAGGTTTGGGAAGTTGCTCCTGCTTCTCCCGTCTTTGAGGTTTATCACTTCTGAACGAGTTGAGCTCCTCTTTTTCCGCAAGACCATAGGGAATACTCCAATGGAAAAGCTCCTTTGTGATATGTTCAAAAACTGAGGAAGGTGGCTGTAAAATGGGTGCAACTACTCTGGAAAACAGCCTACTGAAGCCACTCATTCACCTGTCCTGTGACCCAGCAATTCCCCCTGTAGGTATGTATACCAAGCAGAAATGTCCACCAAAAGATATGATTAAAAATGTTCACAGCAGGGGGTGCCTGGGTGGCTCAGTCGTTAAGCATCTGCCTTTGGCTCAGGTCATGATCCCGGGGTCCTGGGATTGAGCCCTGCTTCGGGCTCCCTGCTCAGTGGGGAGCCTGCTTCTCCCTCTCCCACTCCTTCTGCTTGTGTTCCCTTTCTCACTGTGTCTCTATCAAGTAAATAAATAAAATCTTAAAAAAAAAATTCACAGCAGCTTTATTCAGAAGAGCCCCTAACTATACGTGGGCGGTAGGATGAATTAATAAGTTGTGGTAGATTCATTTAATGGAAAGCAGCAATCAAGAATGAATGGACAATACATGTGACAACGTGGATGAATGTCACAGACGTAAAGGTGGAATGAAAGAACTTTGCCAAGCACAGCTTCTGCTTATACAAAATTCGTGGACAGGCCAGACAAACCAGGTGGCAGAAGCTGGAATCTTGTTTGCCTCCGGGGTTGGGAGGTGGGGTGGTTGGGAAGGGGCCCAGAGGAGCCCTCTGGTGGCTAGAAATGTTCTTTCTTTTTTTTTTTCTTTTTTTTTTTTTAAAGATTTTATTTATTCATTTGACAGAGAGAGATCACAAGTAGGCAGAGAGGCAGGCAGAGAGAGAGGGGGAAGCAGGCTTCCTGCCGAGCAGAGAGCCCGACGCGGGGCTCGATCCCAGGACCCTGGGATCATGACCCGAGCCGAAGGCAGAGGCCCTAACCCACTGAGCCACCCAGGCGCCCCTAGA